AAATAAAATTTAGTAATATTCTTTACAATTTTGAAATATTTCAAAAATTATCTTTGTTTTAAAAAAATTTACTATATCGGAATTATCGGTTACTAGATTTAATTTTGCTGAATGTGTTTTTTCAAGATGTTTTATAAAATTAGAAGTACTATTTTCACTACATGTATATACTATTCTACATTATTTACAAGTAGTCTTTTTGTTGTTTTTAAAATTTGAACTTTTATAAAATATTCTCATGCTTTGCTCCTAGAAATTATTGAAATTGCTTATATTAACATTATCATTGTCATTATTATTATAGCTTGTTAAACTACTACTTTCTTTATACAAGTATTGTATATATATATATTTTTTTTTTTGAAGGAGCCAATGGCTATCGCGCTTTCATTTATTATTATAATTTTAGACTTGCAGGTTACAAGGTTTACAATATGAGAAACATAACATACATTTCTCTTTGCTAAGAAGAGTTAAATGCAAGATTATAATGGTCACTCCTAAGCTCCTTGACACCATTCAAGGAATACAGTAAAAAAGAATATTTAAAACCTATATTATGGTCTTAAATGGCGTCTAGCTATCTAGAAATTAATTTGAATGCCTAATCACATAAAGGCGCTGCAGCCACTTTATACAGATTTGCCTCCAAGTCATAAGTAGGACTGGCACACTTGCTTCTCAAATGTGGCTTGATATTTGGCAGGCGGAGTAGTGTCGGGAGATTTTTTGTTTGTGATTACCTTTTCACATGAAGGCGCTGCAACCACTTTATACAGATTTGCCTCCAAGTCATGAAAAGGATTTGGCACATACATTTCTCAAGTGTGACAGAGTGTTCCATGGGTGAAGTTTAGTTTTAGGTTTCTTAAAGGTGCTGATACCTGACCTTGTACAATAAGACCTACATTGTCAGAGGGGTAGGCGGGGAACTTTTGTTGTCGTCACCAGCTCGTGTTGCGGGGTAACTAGAATCCCTGGTCTTCACGTATTATCCTACTAAGTTCTCTAATCACCAGCATGATACCTGCAGACTAACCTAGCTTACTGTTAGCTGCATTGATATTGGCTGCCATATCTTTCTGGATACTGTGGAGCGCAACTCCTTGGATACTTTCGAATAATAATAGTTGTACACCAGTTTTTTAGATATATCTAATCTAACCATCAATGAGTAAACAACACTGGATTAGGTAATAATGGCCATGTTGTTCTTTTGGAGGAGGTAAGCCATCCATCCTTTTTCTGAGGAGCCATGGAGGGAAAACTTTCCATAGCCCACGTTCTGTGAAAACCTTGCCATTTCTTATATGATTCCTGAGAGAAAAAAATCCACTGGCCAGAGAAGTGATGTTATGGAGGCGGAGTTTTCAAAAGAAAGAGAGGCCTAGGGAGGAAAACCTTCAGGAAAAAAGGAAAAACCTAGCTTTGGCAGGAAAAAAAAGGGGAAAAGGAAAGAGAGGGTAAAAGTAAAAGAAAAAAGTATATAGAAGAGAGGGGAGAAGATAGAGGAAAAGAAATAAAGAGGTATGGAGAAAAGATATAGAGAGAAGGGAAAAGGGAAGACGAAAAAAAGTAAACAACTCAAGAATTTCCTAAAAAGGAAATTTTCAAGCGTAGAAAGGGGAAGTGGGAAAGAGTTTTATTTCTAAAATATATTAATATATTTATTAAAACAATATCAAGTAAAGTTAGTTATAAAATATTTAATTATATGTTTATAAATGTTTATAAATATTCATTAATTATTTATTAAGTTATAAATAAAAAAATTTTTTTATACAATATTATATATGTTAACTTATAATCAAAGTTTGCTTTATAATTTGATTTACTTGTCAAATTATATATATAGATATATTTCTAACCAATTAATAAAAAGAAATATTTTAAAAACCATTAATTACAATATCTTATGTTATTATAAAAAAAAAAAATTCAGATATATCAAATTATAAAAGATTGATATTTTTATAATTGATTAACTAGCCTTTAATCCATATTATATTTGATCAAATTAATAATCAAATATAATTAGATTGTATAAAAATAAAACTTTTGATTAGTTAATGATTATAGGATTGAAATAAGATTATATCAATAAAAAGATTATATATATAATTTAATTATCATTAAAAAACCTTACAAAAATCAAAATTGAATCAATAAACTTTGCGAAATGTGAAAAGAATAATTGAAATATTTCTAGATTAACTTGTTAAAAAAGATTATTATACATATGATCTTTTCATGATGACATAGCTGAAAATTGGATTTAGTTTAGATAATTTAAACTGATAATCGGATTTTTTTATCTTCTAATAAATCCCATCCAATATATTGATTTATTTACTTGTTGATTGATATAGTGAAATTTATAAAAATGAGTTCAATTCAATTTACAATTAATAAGAATATTAGTATGTATAAGATCATCAAGACGTATTATATACAGTAACACTTGATAAAATCCAAGACGAGTTCATCAAAAAAAAAAACCTTATAACTTTTATTATTTATTAATTTTAAAACTCGATTAAGGCTTAAGAAGTGTAATGTAATGAATTATAAATAAAGACGATCTTCGTAATTGGCATGTTTTGTGAAAATATTTTTAATTCTTCGCATTACGTTTGTTAACACAGTCGACAAAGTAAAGATATATCGTATAATAGAAATTTTTATCTAGAATAGACTGTCATTATGACCCATTTGATAATTTTTAGTTGATTATTCACTGTAATTTTGATTGAAGAGACCTATGTCATATTTTTTAATGCTATTAATTTGGCAGCTACTAAAAAACAAAGAACATGGTATGATAGAAAGCAAAAGTGCGATACCACTGGCGTCATAAACGAGGTACACCATATAAAGGTACTCTCATATTTGCGAAGAGAAAATTGCAATTAATGACGATTAAAAAAATCTTTTACCGAGATAATCATTTATTCATCGTCGTCATATGGGTCCTAATTTTTTTACAAGCATATAGGCAAGCAAGATTAGGATTTTTGATAAAAAGAAATTATCATTTGAATCAAATATTATTTACTTGTCCCCTAAAATCTATTTGTTTTCCTCTTGTTCTTCTTCCTTTGATGATTTGAGAAGTATCAAGTGCTTCAAGCTCGTCCTCTACAATTAGAAAGTCATGAAGTCATGTGTTTAAAGACGATAACGGAAATCAAACGGACTTACTACGAATGTCGGATAATTCTTCTTCAGATCCGCCACTATCTCTCTTTTTCTTTTTGTTCTTTTTACTTGATTTTTTTCTCACCACCTCTTCTTCAGAGCTATCATCACCTTCGCTCTCGATCTTCTTTCTTTTTGTTGTTTTCTGTGTATTAGAATAATAATAATAATAATAATAATTACTATTATTATTATTATTATAATGGTAATGATAATAGAAAGAAAACAAATCTTCAATAATAACGCTAGTGACAACAACTTCTGTCTGAATACCTTTTTATTATTACTGCCCTTGGATTTCTTTGAGCTTGGTGTAACTTTCTTATTTTTCCTTTTGCTTGATCCTACACCATCTGAATAATCCGATTCCGAAATTTCGTCGGACACAGAAAATTTTTCTCCGGATGAAGCTTGACTTTCAGAATCGAGCTCTTCTTCTATAACAAATCGGTGCAAAGAACATTATTTGTGGTTCTACCACGCATACAGGAGGCTCTAAAACGCCATCAAACCTTCTTCGTCATCATCGATAAATCCATCGTTCACATATTTGTCTCGAGTTACAGCTCTTCCGCTCTTTGATCTTAATGGCGAACTCGATTTATTTCTTACAGGTGAAGAACGGATGGTAGGCGAACCTTTTTCCTTTGAAGAACCTGCTGGTCCAGCAGAAGACTTTGTATCTTTTTGTTGCCTTTTCTCCTCCTCACTTTATAAATATGTCGAAATTTTGATAATTGAAATTAAAAAAAGATTTGTCAAAAAGTATTTGAGAGAATATAAAGAAAAACGTGAGCTTAGGACTTAGTTTACTCAGAAAAAAGTCTAACTGTAAGTAAAATACAGGCGAGCTAAAAAAAAAAAGTCACGCACGAATCCTTTGCTCTGCGTTTAGCAGCTAATTCTTCGAGTTTCTTCTTTTTATCGTTATATGACATTTTATTAAATTGCTCAGTTCTCTCTGGAAGGTGACAAAAATAATGGAAAAAAAAAAAAAAAAATCACGAGCGTATTTTTTGAGACTGTGAATATACAGAAGACTGAAGTTGAAAATTCCCAAAATTCACATTTAAATTATTGTATGTCACGAGGTGAAGGTTTGCAACACGCTACTGAATTTGGTAACAGAACACGCGTGCACACTTCTTACTAAAGTTCAGGCATGTCTAATAAAGCATTCGCGCGCAGTGCTCAGTTTGGATTTTAAAATTTTACGTAAGTCATACGCACTACGCCTTTTTTTTTTTCCCTAAAAGAAAAATTAATTTATTCACTTTGTGAACCCCTATCATCGAAATTGTCGACACTCTGATCATTCAATGTTAATCGGCTAAAATCGCTTATTTCATGTATATCAAAATCCGAATCGTCATCTGGGCTCGGTAACAAATGATTAGGATTTTCTACCATCAAATCGTCATTGGTATCGTCTAGGACATAGGAATGTAAAAAATTAACAGCATATCCCACATAATGCATAGCGTAACCTCGGGTAATGATCGTCACCTGCTTTTTCACGCGCTTGGGCATATTCTTCTTCAATTTCTTTTAACCATTCATTCTGAACTTTGACAACTTCACCCGAATCTTTACACGCAGCATACTTTTTTAGTAAATCCCTGAATTATGTTACAACCCTCCGAAAGGGAAGGTATGACAAAGGATGAATATAGAAAGAAGTCATTCGAATAATGGACAATTTCACAAAATTTTACCCGTTTACTGCAAAGAATGCGTGACCCCATTTAAATTTGGATAAGAGTTTCTGAGCGTATTCAGGAAATCCTGGAGAAAATTGATTTAGAATAAACCATGACCTATGCAATGAGCCCTTCGCTCTGGAAATAAAATCTTTTTACCAGTAATGTAAAATCCCGCGGCAAAGGCCTCAACACAATTCAATTTCCATGGTCGACCATAATTCGTGGGATTTGTTGCAACCAAATATGGTACTAACGACAGGTCAAATGTTAAGATAATAAAGGTGACATTACCGAAAAGAAAAATGTTATACTCACGCAATCGATCATGACACGTCTTCAACCTTGCGAATGGCACGTCCTCTAACCTCGCCCATGAACAATCAACGACTGCGAGCCCGAATTTTTGAATAATTGATCGATCAGCCGGTGAAACAGCTTGTTGTCCTTGTGGACTGAACATGCATTTTTTAAAAAGCCATTGACCGCAGATAATTAAAAAACAGTTGAATGACACTTATATACCTCAGGGTAATTCCGGGAAATCTATTTGAAATCTTTAGAATTTTTACAATACCTAGTCTGGAAAGTTTTTTGCCCGAGCATCTTTTTGGGTCACAATGATCAAAGTCCCACATGCCTAATGGCACCGGAATTTCCTTATCAGCATTACCTTGTTAAGAGGGAGAAGCATAAAGATAATTGAATTAGAACTTTGTCAAAATAGAAATCTCGTACTATTAAACTTAATGTTCAAATTCTTCACAAACCTTCATTTTTGCATTCGCCCCGATTCATGGGATCATTAAACACGTCTTCGCTATCATTTAAATGGTTATTGAGAGGTAGGATACGCGCTCTAGAGAGAAAGAAGAAAAAATGTCGACCCACTTTTTACGAAACTCTCGATTTCGACCACGAGACTGATAGTTCTTTCCCTTGTTTTTACCCATATGTCAATGCTCGGACTAATTTTACGTGATGTAAGTACGGAGCAGAAGCAAATTTAAAATTTCTAACAAAAAAATATATTAAATATTAGATACATGCAGCACATACAGTGTATACCAGCATATTTGCAAAAAAATGAAACCCTAAAAAGTTACAGCACCCAGTATTCCCATGTTGTCCCCAACCATAGTACTGACTGGGCCATCAGTGGCTTAACTTCGGAGATCGGACGGGTTCCGGTGCTTTTCACTGTGTATGGCCGTAACTGAAAGAGGTTTCATTCTGACTTCTTTTAAACATTAGAATCAATGGTTAAATACAATTTTAATATTCATTTTTTGTATATTCTGTTGAAAAATGATTTGTGATAATGTTTTTTTTAATATTAGATGTGAGGTAATGAAAAAAAAATTTTTTTTGATGTATATACTGTATATGATACTAAATTTTTATTAATTAATAATAACAAATTTATATCATACATGTAATGCAATTTGAATTTGCAAGACAAATTGGTTTATCTCAAGATTCAAGTTTCACTTGACATGTCAACCATCTGTAGTCAGCAATTATAACTTATGGATGAGTTCTAAACTTTTTTCTTAATTCAATAAAAAACTATAATAACTTAGACTTAGTGGCCGATTGCAATCAATATTCAAATAACTTCATTCCGAGCTCATGCAGACGATTAAGGGCCCTTTGTTCATTCTTTAGAGCTGCCAACTTTAAATACTGAATTGCCTTCTCTTCGTCTTTTTCGATGTTGTATTTTCCATCCAAATATATTTCACCCATTTGACACAGCGCATCTACGTTATTATTGTTTGCAGCTAATGTCATATAATGTAGATACTCCGAAGTCTCACTCAGCACACCTTCCTCAATTAACGACGAAGCATAGAAAAATTGTGCATCGGGATGGTTTTGATCTGCTGCTTCCTTGAAAAGCTGACTGGCTAGTGTACGATCTTTCTTCACACATCTTCCTTCCCACAGATAAAACCCTTTCCAATATTTGGCCTGAGGGTTGTTGATGGAGGCATGATAATCAAAACATTCCCAAGCCTTTTGCTCATCTCCTCGTTCGTGAGCTTTTATGCCCTCTGATAATTTAAGTCTCTTCCTTACTGACGATAAGAGTATAATGTCGGAGTCAAATAGATCATCTTCTTCGATTTCCTCTGTGTTGGAATCAGTTTCCGGAAAAACTGCAATCACCTCATCATCATCATTATACTCGAGAGGTTTTAACTTTTTATTCCATGGATATTCCTTATGCAGCTTGTCTAGGTCTAAAAATATTTTGTAAAGACCGGGGCGAAGAAGTGGATCATCTTGCCATGCTATTTTGATGATAGTAGAAATATGTAGAAAAGGTAAATAAACGACAGAAGTAAAATTCATTTGATTGTTTTTGCGCGAAATGTTATACCGGCTCTGACGATTTTGGCAAAGTCTATTCGAAAAGTATTTAAAGATGGACCGAGTTTAATTTTCTCTCTGTTTCCGGCCAGCACATGCTTTGTGATCTTGGATTCATCCCACCCCCTATATGGAATTCTTCCATGCGCAAGTTCCCACAAAAGCATTCCGAAGCTATAACAATATATAATGATTAACTATGCATACTTATTATTACGACCATCAAATAATTCTTATTTACCTGAATAATTCACATTTATAAGTATAATAGGATGATCTCTTTTCATTACGGAACTGTTCGGGAGCCATCCAATGTTCAGGGGGATCGCTTATATTCTGAAATTCTTTATCGTCATGTATCGGGCGACATAATCGAAAGTTTGCAATTTTGGGTTCCAGTGCTCCGTTGATCTATTGTAATAGAACTTTTAAATTTTTGCTTCAAAATGATAACCCAATGCAACCTTACCATAATATTCTCACATCTAACATCATAATGCATAATATCACACCCATGCAAGAACAAAAGGCCACGGCAAATCCCAACCGAAATTTCAAATGTTGCCGGCATATCGATTACAAACTTTTCATATAAATTTTTTAAATTTCCCATTTCAGCCCATTCGTAAACTATCACAGTAGCTGGTATAGGACCCCAGTCTAAAGATGACATCCCATAAAATCTAATTAGACTAGAGCAACTGTTTAATTTGTTCAAAAGTACAAGTTGATCCATGAATTTTTGAGTTGGTGTTGTATCAATAACTTTGCATGCAACTAGCTTTTCCGTTTCTGCTGTTTGCCAACATCGTTTTATAACATTTCCGTATCGATCATTGGCCTTTGGCCGGGTAGTTTTAATCAACTCGTTAGGTGGTATCTGTGTTAATTTTATTTCACCGCTATTGCTCTCATTTATATGTGATTTTATCAGCATTATTTCCTCAAAAATTGGACTAATTTGCTTTTTCGGCGTTATGGGGCTTCCGATGTTTTCCAGAAACTGTTGATCGTTGAAAACTTTAGAAACAAAAACATCCCTCAAGAAATAGAGCACGCCTTAGAATACAATTTACCTCATTTAATATGACAATATCTGAATGTAAAGCCTGTGTATCTCTTTTCTTTTGCAGTTCCAGATTTGATCGCACCTCAAGGTTTAGATCCCTAATGACTCCATCAAATTCTTTCGTAATTCTTTCAAATCTATCTTTAATAGATTTTGTCGTCGGAAATTTGCGTAAGCTCCAGAGAGAAGACACGTCGGTAATGAACTGTTGAGTTTTTTTCAGCACTGCAAGAAGACGTATTAATGAATTATAATAATCTTGATTAAGAAAATTTTCGATTTTGTCTTTTCGTCTCTTCAGCGCTTTCACCGGCGCCGCTATACAATCTACTCTGTCCAGCAAAACATTACTAATTTTTTTATTGTACTGTGCGTGTTCATACGAATTGTAAATTCTTCTGATGGAATCCGCGAGTGAACTAACTAAAGGTCCATATGGTTTGACCACTTCTCCGATTACTGTTGTACTGCCTATAAGCTCTCTTGCTTTTTCCAGCTTTTCTTCAATACTTAAGTTCTCTAATTCAATTGTGGCGTCGACTTGTTGAGTCTCAATGGTTTCCAGTTTATCTATACTAAGCCTCAATCCAGCCGTGTCGTAAACTTGTTGAGGTATAAATGATTTCACTCTATCTGCACGAAGCTTTCGATTTTCCTCAGATACCTCGGACATTTGTAATTATTTTCAAACAGTTTTCGTGACAATGCCTCAAATATTTATATTTGTAAATTAAGTGGCATCACATGAGAATAATACTAAAAATAGAAAAAATTAATTCCATTCATTACCAATTTATAATATAAAAATAAAATTATCATATAAGTATAAAATAATGCTTATAAGTATTATTTCAAATATACAGTGTGTTGCAAAACTTTTTGGAATTGAAATTAAATTTTTTTAAGTATTAAAAAAATTGATTACAAATAAAAATTTCATTAAAGTTTTTATAATTTTATGAATTTTAATACAATAAATTTATAGATTTTTTATTTTTTTAAAAAAAATTTTTGTATAATTTTTTAATTTGTAAATTATTAAAATTTTTAATTTTAAAATAATTTTTTTTATATTAAAAAAAATATATAAGATTTTGTGACTTTGTGAATTTAAATGAAATACATAAATCTAAAAATTAATTAATAATAACAATAATATTATATACATATATCTTTTTTATAAAATTTTTTAAAAGTTTTGCAATATATTATAATTGTTTTTCAAATTAAGCTTAATTCAGATTAAATTTAATTTCAAAATAATATATATAAATATATTCAAATTAATATAAATTAATTAAATACAAATAAATATTGCAATATTTTATACTTATATAATAATTGAAATTTATTTTTTTATCAATTATTGATTTTTTTATAAAAATTTTTGCAATATATTTTTTAATTTGAATTTTTAATAAATAAATAACCCTTTTTTATATTATTTAAATAATTTTATATTTATTTATTTACAAAAATTTATTATAAATAAAATTATTATTTTTTATAATCATTACTATATACTATATGTAATTTAAAATATTATACTAGTAATTATTTTTAAAATAATATTTGAAGATTATAAAAAAAAATTTGCAAAAAAATATTTAAATTTTTATTATTTAAAAGTTTATTAATAATTTTTAAATAAATAAATATACAGTCAAACCTCTTTATACCGATATTTTTTATACCGATACCTATTAAAATCTCACTATACCGATATTTT